AACTTTCTCCACCGCCGTCTGAATAAACGTAATAACTGAGCACTAACTCCACTACAGCAACATAAACTCAGACACTTTAGTGCCTGTTAAATAGCGGCAGACACGTACAAGAATCCATACATAATGTCAAACCAAAAACTTCTAAACTTGTCACTTAGTCAAAAAATGCAGAAGTAGTACAGCCTCAAATTAGAACTTTTATTTCCCAAATTAACCATAAACAGAAACTACAAATTTGTATCTGAAATTGAACCTCAGAAAATAGTTTGAAATGTCTGACAACACTTTTACCTCGGAAAAGAGCTACTGGTATATTTCAGCCTTCAGAAGAACTCCATCCAGATGTTTTCACGCCTTGATATTCAAAAAAAAAAAAAAATTAGATCTTGATTAAGTTTTAAGCGCTCTAGTTGCCCCAGAGGCACCGATACAACAACCTAGACATCTTTTAAAATCTCATGATCCGAGTGAAATTATTAATAACGCCTTTTACTCCATGATATCTTAAAACCCTTAAGATATTTGGAAAACAAACCTCAATACAAGTTGATAAATAGAAGTTTCCGCCTATAAGAGATCGTGTTATTTGAAAAAATTTTGTCGCAAATAAAACTTCACAGAACTGAGCTATAAAACGTCCCAAGACTGCATACTGCGGCAAAAGAGGTCTAGAATTGAAAATTCAAACTTTTCAGTAATACCATTTCCAGCAATCTACATAATTAGCTATAGACAAAGATTTCAGTATTTGGCAACAAAACTCTGATGCTACGACAGCTTCCTCTCAGACACAATCCAAAAGTAAAAGCAAAAACGACACAAATTTCTACAAGTTCTCTTTGACAAGTGGGATAGGAACCTACAAATTTATAAAACAATAAAGTACTGCCCTACATACACGTATCTCAAAAATCCTCTTCCACTTTTTCAGAGCTTCGGTAAGGTAAGAAATAAGCTAACTATTTGCCTTTCTGAACCTGCTAGAGCTAGAAATTACTGGCCCCTGCCTGCTGAAAGTACGGTCCTCAGTCTTCAAGAGATAACAATTAGGGTTTGTAAACAAATGATTCACTTCCAAAAATGATCGCTCAAGTGCTCTTTGAACGGCCCACGTATAGTTCAGCTTATCCGGAAATTCCGACACACAGCCAGCGGTTTCTGAAGCAACTTTTTTCTTGAATAATAATTTTATTTGAAACCGGTGATGTATTCATTGCTCCTGCGGTACCTTAATCCTTCAGCATCAATCACTAGATTTTCAAACGAGTACTGCTTTGAATAAAAAGTAAGAGTACTTTAAAATAGTAAAAGTTCTTTGAATCACCTTATTGGTCACCCGAAGGCTTTTAGTTCTGCGAAGCTTTTTTACTCGACATCCCATTTAAAAAAAAAAAAAACAGTTTTTCTCTTAATAGTAGCATCCTTAAATGTTTGTAACAAAACCTAATTTAAAAGATAAGAAATTACTATAACGACTTTCGAACACTCTCTTCAGAGTTCTAGCTTTCTCAGTCTTTTAGGATTACAGCCAAATAAAAGGCTGATAAAAACAGTCAGATCAGAAAAAAGGGGGACTAGAATTAATCAAAAAAGTTTCTACATTCAAGTTGCATTCAAGTAATGAAAAGCTAACCAAAACGCAGGATAGTCTAAATTTGCAATCAAAATACGCTTACCATGGCAAACTCTTCAACACGCTTGTTTGCAAAGTAACCTTAGAAGCCTACATATCAAAACCATCTTCTCTTTCGTTAAATTCCAGTGCTTCTCGCTCAAAAATACCATTTCACTGCCGTTACATAGGAAAACTTGTATCGTCATTAATTCTTTCAATTACGCAGCTTTAGGTTAAAGAATAAAAAAGAAAGACTTACAACGTTTTTCAACTTCATTGCTTTTTCTACATCCATTTCAAATTTAGTACCATTAAGGTAATCTTATTAAACTGCAATCAATACCCCAGATTTCTTTTTCTAACAGTTACCGACGCCGAATGATCGGGAAAGTAATGCTTTCTTTCAATAAACTCCTAAGCTTATTACCCTAAAAACTACTACGCAATTGCTGATGGAAATTACAGCTGGACGGCGGATAATATGCCAGAAGACTAATGAGAAGAAATATGCTTCTGAATATTTAAAAAAGGAAAAATCGCTGAAGTTGAGTCATATTAACAGAAACATGCTATTAAAAGTAGCAGTACGTAAATGCCGTCAACCACATTAAGAGCATAAAATACTAATATATGCGATATCGTGTGAACAAATAAACGAAACCATGTTAAACCAACTTGTATCAACTCATAGAATCATCCAGCATTAAAAGCACTGGTTTTTGGCAAAAAAGAAAGATAACTAGAAACAATAAATATCCTACGAAGGCGATTAGTTGAAACTATAAGCAATTCCCGCAAATCGAAATAAAATTGGCAAGTTTACCATCACCGAAGCAATGCAAGCGTCTCAGGACTCTATCTGTTTAGTAAAAGCTAGGCAATGTTGGATCGATGGTTGTATAGATAATTCTGTCGGCGTCAGAGAAACGCAACAGATTTTCAACGTACTATTCATTCCACAGTTTTACTAAGCGTAAGCTTTATATGTCTTTTTTCAAGGTGCATTCTTTCCAGATCCATACTGTAGTAAAAAGCTGCTAAAGATAGGCAGTAAATGCTGTTCTTGTAATACACGTAAAGTAGCATTTGTATGTATTAATGTTTTTTTCGTTGTGCTACTAAGCTATTTTTAAGCTAACTTTTTTTTTCTTCAAACGTCGTGGAATATTTTGAAGTAGTACCAGCAATTCATTTAATTTATGAAGTTGTGACTGATATTTGATGGGAGATGCGATGATATACTTGACTTGTGAGTTTCAAAAGTACTGCTGTATTTTTCTCTTTCAGTTTGACCATTGAGATGGTCTAAAAATTGCTGAATGATGTTTTATAATTCTGTGGGGAAATTTTTTTGACTTATAATGATGGTGTCGTAGTAATTAACTGGGAACTGGCGCCGATTCTGCTGCGTTATGATGCAGTTATCATCAAATAAGCTTATAGTAAACAGAATTAAATTCTGGATTAAAAAATTGCTTGATAGTTTATCCACTAGTCATCTGCTATCCGATGCTTCTCTGAAGCTTTTTAAATTTGGTAGTCGTCTGGGCCTATGTACTGCTTTCTTGGTCAGTTCACTCACTTCACTATTAATTACTTTTTTTTAAAGGGCATTCAAGAGCTTAAATGGCAGCCCCAACGGAACGTTTTCATGTCCTTTCCCAGCTCGATCATTTACAGTCTAAGTATACCGGGACAGGTCACGCTGATACTACTCGTTGGGAATTCCTTGTAAATCAACATCGAGATACTGCTGCGTCTATAATAGGTGAGCTTTGTTATTAACCAAGAAAAAAATTGTTTAATTCTTATCAAAATGATATTTAATTGCCTACTCAAGCTTTTTTTCTCAAGATTCCTTTGAATACAGCTGATGATAGGTGTTTCCTTGAAACAGAATAGCAAGTGCTCTTATCAACAGCTAGTGAAATTAACAATGTTTAATAGATTCCTTGAAGTTTTTTTAAATACTGCCAACGAGTGTGATGGTCAAGAACGCATTTAACCTTTAGTGGGCTTTGGGTTCCTCTGCTACAAGATGAGTTAAAAAGACGTATTTAGGGAAAGAGGCTTTTTCGAGTTCTTGTAGATGTGTGCTAAGGGAGTTGTTAAAAAAATTTGCTTTTAGGTCATCCTGATCACTTGAGCTTGGTGGCTATATGTGAAAACGAGTCCAGGGCTAGAGTAAAATTTAATCTTTTAACGCAGATGATAGCTCCTTGCGGACCTCCTCCAGAAAAATCTCCGCTAGATGATTGAATTTTTGTTTTTTTTCTTTATCTATTTATCTTTCTTTCTGCGAAAACTAATTATTTATGTATTCATATCAATATCTTCATATATGTTTTTGAAAATTGTTTACTTGAATTGTTATTGGGATCTCTCATGAGATGTGTTTTCTGACAAAAATAAAACATCTGACTTTAGACTGAGGTTATTTTACAAGGTTTTCTGATGCCTTTCATCTTTTTCACAGCGCGTTAAAATGTGCTTGCAGGTAAAACTCTTGTTCCGGTTTCTGCTTATTGAAGTAGACGGCTAGTAATTGGACTGAGAGGGAAACGTTAGAAAATATTAATTGTTTAGTGTGCTTTCAGCGATGGCATCTTTGCTGTCAATCGACAAGGTAGTTTACGAATGTAGTTGTGGAGAATGGAGCAGCTTGAATCGCCTTTATTTCTGTAGGCACTGTTCGAGGCTCAGGTGTATATACTGCGTAAGCGTTGAAATGGATAGTATGTATTGTCCGACATGTCTTGACAGTGTGTCTACGGGGGAGGCGCGATTGAAAAGAAATCGGTGCCCAAATTGTTTCCAGTGTCCGTTATGCGGTTAGTCTTAAGCAGAATCAGTATTATACATCCGCTGATATAATTTATACCTTTTCAGGTGTTGGTTTGTCGATGAAGGCCTCTAAAAATATTTTTAATTTTTTCTGCACAACGTGTCGATGGTCAGCTTCATTGCCATCCTTACCAGATGGTGGTTGGCCAGAAGCTTGCAAGGAAGATGAGAAGAAGCTTGGGTCGTTTCTAGAAAACATGCAGAATTTAGCAACGGCTGAAAAAACGGATCGTGAAAGACACAAATACACGAAAAGGTGGTGGATAAATTAGATTTCTGTTATAGATTGTTTTGCTGTTCAGAAATAATAATTTAAATTCGGAAAGTTCTTTATTTTTACAAATCAGTTTTTAGGCGTTCAAATTTGGGCGGTGTATTTTCGGATCGATTTGGTTTGCAGTCAATCTATAATCGTCGTAAAGCTGCCCTTTTTGGACTTGTCAATGAAAATAAGGTTGAAAGTTTACAACCAACTGATGACGTCCCTGCTTTAGATCTCGCTGAAATTCTTGCTGATAGCGGTGGTATCGTATTAATATTTTAGTTTTCGACGTTTTATGTTCCTTCATGATATGAAAAGAACTCTCAGTTTTACTTTCATTTTTAAAGACATATCTCTTGTACCGACACTTGAGCAACAAATAAGACAACCACTTTTGATTTACAACAACTTGTTGCCGATAAAAACGTCTCTTCTTGGGAGGAAAGGCGTACGGTGCAGGCAGTGTGAACATAGTTTGTGCAAAAACGAGTACAATCCTAGCTCAGTAAAGTTCAAAATACAGGTTAGAAATGTACTAATTAAAAATCGTTTTTTTTTTTTTTTCAATGCTCTCTAGAAGTTCTATGAGTGCGAACCAAAGGTTCTTTCCTTACTAATTTGAAGTTATTTGTTTTTAGGTTCTAGCAAGTCATTACGTACCAGAAGTTCGCATTTCAAGCGTTCCAAAAATGCAGTATGGAGAATGGTCTCCGATTTATCTCAGTGTTCTAAATTTTTCTGCTAGCACTTTGCATCTGACTTTGTCCCCTGACGAAACAAGTGACGAGCATTTTGTCAAGGTTCTTATAGTGATAAAAAGCTGTTGTCATCATGCCGTTAAACGATTATTTGGTTGCTAAATAGCTAGTACTACGGCAGTTTTCTGGCGGATTATTTGAATGTAAATTACTTTTATTTTAGTGCGAAAACTTCAGTATTGACTTGTCAGTGCCTAATCGGGATGAGACTGCCGAGATGGATGAGCCAGTGCAGGCAGCAGTTGATCTTAGACAGTAAGACGTAGTTTAATTACATCTAAAAATTCTGTTTGGTTTGGAACTGAAGTTAAAAAATATTGGTCAAGATCACTTTACTCTCGGAAATTTACTTTATTTTTGTCGTTTTTAGTGGGAC